GCCATACTCTCAGGGTTTCTCCAGTCTCTGTCAGGCCAGTAATTCTGGTCTTTTTTTGTGAGTTAGAATTTTGTTCTACATTTTTCTCCAGCTCTGTCTGGGACACTCTTAAAGCCTTTCCTTCTAACCTAAGAACTCTACTACTGTTTATTGTCCGAACATTGCTTCTCCTCAGTCTCTTTGTTCATCTTTTCAGCATTCACATAATTAACCTCTGTCAAAAAACTGCAAATCATTATACATACCTTTTTTGGCTAAAAAGGCTTGCCAGTTCCAGAAATATGATTTGAATTTATCCCTTTCTTTCCATTCTCACTACTCTTCATCAGTTCTTACCTGAACAATTGCAAAAGACTCCTAAGTAGTCATTTTTTTCTCCAGTCTTCCTCAACTCTCTCCTCAAGCCAATCTACCATGTTTCAACAAGAGTGATGTTTTTAAAATATAAATGTGGTAATGTTGGATAAAGCCAAATGTTTTATGTGAGGCATTGGAACCTTCCTCTTGCTTGTGGTAGTATAGTTCAGTGCCACTATTCTGGAGAACATTCTGACACTAGTTAGTCAATTAAGTTGGAGACAACCTGGATGTCCATCCCTGGAAGAACAGATCGATAAAATGTAATGGATGAACAGCATGGAGTTTAGGAGCATGGGGTGACCATCTGTCTTGGTTTTCCCACGATGTCCTGTTTAACCTGTTATTTCAATATAATTGTTAATAGGGCCTTTTACTCTCAAGGGTCCTAATTTAGATGATAAATTATTTGGTCATCTTAATTACACAGTAATTGGAGCAGTGAATTATATATACACATAATGACATGAATGGATCTTAAACACATTGTGCTGAGGGAAAAAAGTAAAAAATAGAATGAGATATGTAATACAGTACCATTCACATAAATTAAAAATGCATGCATACAATATGAGACACATTTTGTAAGAACATATACAAAGAAAATAATATACATTAAATACAACAGCTGTGTATAGAGGAGAGGGGAATGGGATGAGGTTTGGAGATTAGAGAAAATAAGATAGGAACCTTGCATGGACCAATAATGATAACATGCAGGGAAATGAGGAGAATAAATTAACTCCCTGTATCACAGATTCAGTTAAGGAACAAATATGCAACCAAAAAGTGATTGTATCAATCCCTAACTTAAAATCCTTCTAAAGCTTTCTAACATCTAAAGGATCAAGATCATATTTGTTATAGTTTATACATTTATAAGGTCCATCGAGATCCTACCCTGCATATATCTGGGCCTTCATCTCTTACCACACTCTCACTCTGGCATGTGAAGTAGCTATGAGAAAATACGT